GGTTGCGGTCACCGGTGACCGCTTGGTGTTTGACAGTTTAATATTCATAAACTTTTATTTTTACCGACTTCAGAAAAAGGAGAAGGTACTAGGAGAATGTATGACTGACTTTTGTTTTCTTTTGTTTTTTCACTGATTACTCCGCCATTTGTGATCTGATGATGAAGAAGTGTAATTGTTAAAGGAACTCCTTAACGGTATACGGTGACTACATTTCGGTTGGTGCGGTGGCTGGGCAACTGGCTGCTGCGCAACGTGTCGCGGATTCGATTCCCGCACGGAACAATTCTTTGTGTGATCCACAGATTGTTGTTCCGGGTCTGGGTGTCATGTGTATGTGAACTTGTATGTTTATTTACTTTTTTTTATCAATACATAGTATAAAACAAAGTCGCTTTCGCTGTATGTCCGTATGTATGCTTAGATCTTTAAAACTACGCAACGGATTTTGATGCGGTTTTTTTTAATAGATAGAGTGATTCTTAAGGAAGGTTTGTATGTATAATACATGCATATTGCACTCGTGCGAAGCCGGGGCGGGTCGCTAGTTTAGAATAAACAAAAAAATATTGTATGTTTGTAAACGCACCCACGACACAGTAGAAAATCCTAGTATGGGGCAACGGTTTAAAAAAATGCGTTTGGGCTTGATTAATTTGTATTGATGAGAACTTTACACCTATGTGGATGTATAAGTGGCAAAACGGATATATGTAGCTTTACACTAAAAAAACATAAAATAATAACTGTGTTTAAAAAACCGATTTCAAAAAACTAAAACCTAATAACTGTGGCTGGGGAACCTATTAGTACTAATAATAGTTATTTATTGCTCTTTTGTTTTTACTTTTTGGTTTTATGAAGTCGGTTTTTAAACGCAGTTAGTATTTTTAATGTACAATTGTAATTAGGTACCTATATTTAATGTGAATGTGTTGTCGTTACACATTTCAATAGGTATCCACCGAATACAAATATGAGCAATATACTTCAATTTATATGAAAAAAAATATATATATATTTCGTACATTACAATATGCTCAAAGATGTAAACAAAAAATAAAAATCTGCAATAACGGATATCATTTCTCATCGCATGTAATGACCTAATGCATTATGCACTTTGATACGAATATTTCAAGAAGCCGACGATATAAAAAATGTGCTGCATTCTCAGTTTAATCTTCCTGTGCTTGCAATTTAGCCATCACAACAAAGACTCAAAAATATACGTCAGCTTTGTTACTAAAATACACAATACAGATTAAAAGAAAACAAAAAAGAATAGGGGAAATATTGTGCTGTATAATATCTTAAATGAAGACACTTTCCCCCTAGGAAATCGACAATGCCGCTGCAACACAAGCGACCAGTTAAAAATACACCGTACGACGTACGACTACAATTTTAGAAGGAAAAAAGACAAGTCGAAATAGACAATTTGCTATCGTTAAAATTCCCTTTACGGCAGATGGGGGAATTTGAAAGGGCTTCTTAAATCCCGGATTTACTACGGAAAATTATATCTAAGTCTCTACGAATCCGTCCACATGCGAGATGCCGTTTTAATTGTGTTTACCGAGACTTAGTTAGCAAACATTGAGCTACTTAATTCGGGGATATAGGGAAGGGAAGTCTTTTATTGCTTCACGTTAACAAATTGACAATGTACGTACTAGAGGACAAGAATTAACGGCTCTGGGTGTGGCGCTTCTATTGTGTTTTGAGGAAACTTTAATAAATACTAGAACATTTCGTTCGTCAAATACCATTAATTTTCAAACATTTATATTTATATAACAACATTAATTGAATATTTTCAATGAAATGAAATAGTTGGTACTATGATTAGAATTTCATCACACTACATTACGTCATATTTCGAAAGCTAATGTCGGTCCCATACATTTTGATGACCAATACGAAACGATCACGAATATCGAAAGACGCTTAAGGAGCTCCGTGATTGTGTTCATAACCAAATTGTTGTGGTCTTCGTTAAGTTCAATTTTGAGATACTTGCGTGGTGGATGCTAAGTACTAGCTCACTGTTTATAAAATGTAAATAGAAATGTTTGTGACAACTGTTTTATTGTAACATCTTAAACTAGTTATCTATCTGTGCCATTAGTAAGTAATATGTAACTTTGTGGGAAACTTTGACCCCATATTAAAACGGACTGTTGCTTTATCGAGATTATCCGACTGATCTCCGACTAATAATAGGCATGCGAAACGATGTCCCAAGGGACTAGTAGATTGTCAAGGATTAGTTCTACCCTAGGGACTTCGTGCCAAAGATATTTATATCCTTTAATGAGTTAAGAATTATTCCTGATTATCGTATCTTTTAAGTGTCTAATGTTTAAAATTTAAACATAATATATTCTTACACAATTAATCTGAATTAATAATAATTTACCCAAGGGAGTATAAGTACGTAGAAATACACATAATGAAATCCGGAGAAACTTATTAGTACATTTCTATGGTGTTCTTATTGAAACTCCCAAAGAGTGCTTTATAATATCAATGAAATTCCTTCTTCAATAAAAAGTCCTCGAACCTTCGAACGAATGAAGTAACACGACATAGTGACAGTTGGTTGTAGAGAACGTGCTGTCAGCGCCGTCTGTCCTCGAGAGAGGGAAACAAAAGAATCACTGTGCCTTTCTTAATAATACTCTCCATTGAATAATGCCTGCAACTTGAACGGTATACAAGTAAAACTGGTTAATTAAAGAATACCAAATTGATACTAATAATGATTATTATTACCTTAATTAGGTTAACTTGTGAAAGTAGGTAATTTAATCACCTCAGTACATTAAGGACTAAAATTTTTGACGAGATGCCAATCGTAAATAACTTAAGCAACATCACTGCTGATACGTTTAATAATTCAGAAAGCCTGAAGTAAACTGTGTATATTTCCCTCTTCAAATTCTGTGTGAAGAGGTGACGCCGTAAAAGCCTTCAGTAGCGCCACTCCATTCTTCATATGGGCTGGAAATATCTAATTCTAGGTACGAGTCTCTTGCAGCAGTCAGAGTGCACCATATATCCCGGTAATCTAATAAACGACCGGTGCCCCACGCCACATGACAATATAAACGCACTCCGACGACGGGATTCACTCAAGGGTGCTTTTACACAATTTCCTTGGTATACCCTTTTCGTTCGCCTCTCCACCTTTTTGCCCCCTTAGCCTAAGCACCGCTCTTCACCTTTTTATAATCAGAGGGAATCAAGTATCTCCATTTATTGAACTCGCCTCTACTAATATTTTATTAGTATATTCGTTATTGAAAGTCCAGAGATTTGAGTCCGCTATTCAAATTCTCAGAAATGAAAATATTTATTTTTGGAGCTAAAAATATCAAATACGAATATCCATTTTTTATAATAAGAAAGAATAATAATTATAATGCTGTCTATCCGTATTTACCTAACTACCTTCGGTACAAAAGGTCATCACTTCATATTTATTTAATGGTCATGCGCAATAGCGTATTCAATAAATTGTCTTACGTTGCGTGACGAAAATTGACTGATTTGACGAAAATGAAAACAAAATGTGGTTACGTAACTTCATTTGAATTAAATAGATAACATAATTATTATTATAGGCAAAATTGGGTTTGTGACGAGATTGTGACGTCATCATGGTAAACGAGTCACATGTAACCGATAAGCCTAACGACCGTTCCGATTTACTACAAGTGAACGGATATTCGACAATGTTTGGGAACGTGCCCCTGACTGCCGGCTAGGTATTGTAAGCTTTGTGGCTTTGCAACCCTGTTGTTTTACTTTCTCAAAGGCTTGATCGCCATCGGAACTCCAAGATACCACCGAATTGTACGATAAACTATTTCAAAATATTTAGGTTTGCTCGGTTACTGTAAACACAAAACCAGATAAAATACTCGTAAGACTCTCTCTTTTTGGAACCGTCGGATGAAACAACTTAGAGGACCTTTTTATATAGACTATAAGATCTTGAGTTGAAGCTTCAGTAGATGCTTTATCTATTGTTGTAATCTCCAAGACTTTCATAAGATATGATTATGTACCTTCAGTTCTAAAATTGTATTGTTATATTAACGAACCTTTGATTTCCTACCCCACGTCGTCATTATTAAAAAAGATAATATTATATGTATATCTTTATCTAGGTAATATTAGAAAATTAATCAAAATTATGAGAGTTATATTTGTTTACTCTCATGTTTAAGTAAAAGGTTTTCTTTCATTTCTCTTTTACTTTACTTTAACGTAACACATGTAAGAAAGTTTACAACTATCGCCAAAGGCCATACATTTATGAAAGATCTGGTAAAGTGCTTTATAATAAACGAAATCTTGTCACAAATAAACTCAAATATATCAATCGACATTCGTACAAAATGGCCGCAGAAATTCACAGAAGCAGACGGATTTCATTACGGTAAAACCGATAACTCCGCTTTGCAATCATAGGTTCGTGATATGAACGACCTCTGTATAAACCATATTCAGCCCAATCTATTCCACGAGGGTACTGTTTCAATAGAAATAGGAAAGTCTTTTGTAACATGTTCTTATAATAACATCGTTTAGATAATTTGTGAACGTTGTTTTTGATCGATTTTCCTACAAATTATAGTGTTTTGCTATATTAGGGAGTAGTCTTTTCTATTAAATCATACATGTTGCGTGACAAGCTAAGTTGATTTGCGACGTTTACCAATTATTTGCCTACATAATATATTTAGCCTTTGTTGACTACACAAATACATAAATGTATTTTTAATTCCTTCGCGAAGTATCAAAAAATTTAGTGGTAGTCAAAACCCACTTAGGTACCAGTAAAAGAAATAGTGAATTTATGAATTTATCAAGTAAGATGTTATCGTCTCTCGTCAAGTTTCACCCAGAATTCACATGAAATATTACCTACATATAATAATGATAGTAACATTGTTCGCGGGGAAACCTCGCTGAAGTAAAAATGGAACAAATGGAAAAACTATTTATTACGTGACCGAGATCTGAATACAGCTCTAAAAACTTTGATGATCCAGTTTTATACGTTTTTATAGAAAAGTGTACGGTCAGGAACATTATTTATAAGATGCAATAGTTAATTCTCTTTCCTTGTGTTATGACGTCCTGCTCTAAACTACTTCTCACATAATCACGTCACTATCACATCTGCCCCGCTGAAGGAGTTGCACCGCTGAAAACAACAATAAGAAATGAGCATCGAAATCACATAGAAATTACATATTACACATTATTTTGCCGCGGTTCATTTAGAATACTCTAATAATATTCACAAAAGGTAGGTAAATAATGAATATTATTATCATAATTTACGAGATATTATAATTTTCGTCAGCGCTCTTACCGACGCCACAATTTTGGGCACAAAGAAATTTGCCAGGATTTATGTACGTCACGTTATCTGTACCACACACAGGATTATATTCTGACGTGGATGGACAGTCCTGGACACATTTCTTTTTAGTTGCGTCTTCTGTACTGAAAAAAAAATAAAACACAAAAGTCATTATAAAATAATTACGTGGGTACCTACTAACAGTTATTCTTAATTACTATAACAAGTTGCCAATGTTAATTGAACTAGCTAAAGTCATTACTACAAATAATGTCTAAACCAATTTACATGCATACATACCTGTTATCGGGCACTGTTTCATCAGGTGCTGTTGTCACCAGTTCCGGTGGTACAATTACTGGTTTGCCTAGAATGCCTGCCGTTTCGTTATTATTGGGAACACCTCCTTGGCTATCCGATGGAGGAGGTTCATTTACTAACGGAGGAACATTTTCCGGTCCTCCTGGGAACGGCGCAACTGAATTCGGATACTGATTTACTGACGGATTATCACTTCCACCCATCTGATTCGGAAGTTGTATGTCAGCACCAGGAATATTATTTTGGAAAGCACCAGGCTGCTCAAAATTTGGATTTTGTGGGTTATACGGCTGGAATTGACCTAAAGCATCAGGAAAATTTACATTCGTGTCAGGCAGATTGCCTACTTCGTCCGGCCGATAGCTGGGGTTGCCATTTGCTGGCCCAAAACCTGGAGAAGGATATTGATTGCCTGGTGGGTACCCGAAGGAATTGGTAGGATAGGCCAGCCCGGGTTGGTTGAAATATCCTGCTTGATTTAATGGTCCTCGAGGATTTTGATAATTTTGCCTGTTCATATCTTCTGGGTACATCGCTGGTCCTTCACCTGGTCTATTAAAGTATTCAGGCTTTTGATAATTGGAGTATTCGTTATCTCCTTGGTACGGAAATCTTCCTTGGTTTGGGTAGCCTCTCTCAATTGGTCTGTTCTGAAAATCTTCACTAGGATATTCGGGACGTTGATAAATTGGATTCATACTATCGCCCAAATATGGGTAGCCTTGTTGATTTGGATAACCTGGTTGATTTGGGTACCCTAGCTGGTTTGGGTAACCTGACTGATTTGGGTAACTTTGTTGATCTGGATAGGCTTGTTGATTTGGATAGCCTTGTTGGATTGGATATCCTTGCTGATTCGGGTATTCCTGCCCGTAACCTTGACTTGGTTTATTTCGGAAATTGCCTTGATTGGGATAACCCTGTTGCGGCCGTTGTATATTATTCTAAAAAATATTTACATGATCAGTACATACATAAACAGTTGAAGTGTATCAAGATATTTTGGTAATATACATCAAAGTATAAAATATTTTACGGCAACCGTAAATACCATTATATTATACATTGCTAAAATCCTAAATAATAAAAGTAGAAAGAAACCTGCTATAAAATCAAAATAGAGTAAATAATTAATTAAATTTTAAATACTTTAATAAATAAACTTTACCTGATTTCCGTAAGGGAAAAAGGAATTCGTTGGATAATTACTTGTCGGATTTCCGAATCTTCCCGAGCCAAAGTTTGGGAATCCCAAAGCGCCGAGATCTAAAAACCTCGGTTCTACTGAAGTTGGCAAGTTGCCTTCGTTATTATTTGCCGTAGAAACTTGCGCTTCAAGCAATTTGAATTCTATAAACACTAAAAATTTAAAAGAATTTAATACACACAATGATAATTTTATCAAAAATTAAATATATTATAATTGAATTAAAAATAAGGAACAGATTTCTTAGATACTCACTCAAAATTATAATAATAGTTCGAAACCGATGTATATCAGCTAATGTACTAAGGAACATTGTTAATAATTTTACTATGGTTAAAGGTAAACAATTCACTGTATTTCGCTTATAAATAATAAATTAAGTATTAATTTTGAAAAAATCGTGAAATTATAACATCGTAAACTAACTGATGCTAACAGACGAATGAAGCGACCTACTTATATCAAGTTGTTTTATAATGACTTTTCTGTAGCATTTAATTGACGAAGAGGAAATAACGTTCATTAAGAAAATATTTCCAAAAGACAAATAAATTCCAATACCTAATCACATAAACGACTTTGTCGGGGAATTTTAAATGACCTATAAAATACCTAACTGTTATGTGGCCTAATTAAGTTACCTTTGATGCCTGATATATTGTTACTACCGACTCAACTGCATAGTATGTACCTATATCAGTATATGTATGTGAGATCGCGCCACTTAAGTTCTCAAATAAGTTAACGTTTTATGTAGGTAGGTACTAGCTTCTGTCCGCGGCTTCGCCCGTATTCCCGTGAGATCAAAGGTAGCTTACGTGTTATTCCAGACCAAATTCTATCCCAATTTCAAAGCCCTTCAGACGTTTTGACGAGATTCAGTTACAAACATACAGACAAACACACGACTGACAGACTGCCTCGTTGTCCGAGTAGTCGCAAGTGTGACTGCCGGGCAAGGGGTCTCGGGTTCGATTCTCGGATTGGGCAAAATAATACAGGGTTTTTTTTTAATCTCACCCTAACACGGAGTCTAATAATTTCATTCATTCCCGGTATAATGCAATATTACGTGGGACTCATAACATAAACAGTGAAACGTGGGTGTTACGTAATTGTACAGTGGCACTAACTGCCGTAACCCTGCCTACCCCTTCGGAGATAAAAGGCGATGGAAGAAGTTACGGCTGATGCAGTAACTAGGTATGTAGTGCAGTCGCTGGGCAAACGTTTGCTGTGCAACGTGTCTCGGGTTCTATTTCCGCACAGAACAACTCTTTGTCTAATCCACTAACTGTTGCCCCAGGTTTGAGTGTTACCTACCAATAATAAATTTGTAACCAATAGAGAAACATTCACAATAACTAGTTTAATAATAGACCCTTCGATTTTCATAAATATATTTTTTTAAGAGCTAGAGAATCAGTTTATTACGACGTCTCGGTTAAAAATACAAATGAAGTCAAATACAAGATCTAAGTACCTAATACTGTTGCGGAGAACCTAACGGGTAACCGGGGCTCCGGCTCGACGTGCAGGAGAAGGAACGCCGTGGTTTTTAGTCAATAAGAGTCTTACACTCCCTCCCGCCTCACCCAAGCGGGAGCTGCAGTCATTCGATGAATTTCCCCCCTTAAAAAAAAAGTACCTAATACTGACATCTCGTTTAGATCAAAATTTCAACAAAGACCATACCTATGTACTCTCTTCTCATTTATCCTAACTCTACTCACATTTTTAAGTGAGTAGTGACAAAAATTTTAAGTAAAAATAATTCAGATCCCACCAATCACTTATTTATTTATTTTTATTTATTTATTAGGTTAACCAACAGTTATTTACACTCATACATTCATTACATCATAACAAATAATACTTTGGTAAGTGTAACAACTACTTACTGGCTAACACAGCATGCACATAAAACGGTTAGAATAAGTTACATAAAAAAAAAAATTATAACATTCGAAACACGATCAAGCAACATAACATAAAAGTTGCGATCGATTAATTCAATTAATTATGGGATTAAATTAAATTAAATTAAATTTGAAATTCATTAGAGTCGATATGTGTAGGATTACAACCAAGACAAGGGTACCTAACGTAATTAGGCACCTGAAACAATTGAATACTAATTGACTGAAACAATTGAACACTTAATTGAGAATACTTGCGATTATTTTAGATATCATTAAATTATTGATATAAAATTGTATTATTATTAGATAATTATTATTATTATAAGCGACCCTGGGAGCATAATGTAATAATTGATTTACGAAAACTACCAAGGCTGTCGTGGTGCATATCTATCACGTCACTGCAATTGTTTATGACGTTCGCTAATCTGGTAATGGTTGAGTTTGCACCAAGAACTGTTCTGCGTAGTGGAGGACAGAGGGGTGTTATGTGACCACGTGGGTATCTGGAAGGCGCACGAAATCCAAATGAGCTAAGTAATATGGGGCAATTAGTTTTATTCCTGATTAATTTATACACAAAAATAGCATCTGTAACTTTCGCTCTGGTTGACAGTGGTAGCATCCCGAAACATCGCAATCGGGAGTTGTATGAGGGAAGGCATTTAGCTTTGCCTTTTGAAAATGCTAGATGCCATAGGAAACGCTTTTGGACTCTTTCCAAGCGCAACATATGTGCAGCGTAGTGTGGCCTCCAAACCACGCTGCAGTACTCCAAGATACTCCGAACCAAACTATTGTACAGCATTATTTTAGTGCGACTCTGTTTAAAACTCGTCGTATTTCTTATAACAAACCCTAACATTTTTGAAGCCTTTGTTGTAATTTTTTCGATGTGAGGAATAAATGTCAGTTTATTATCGAACAGGACTCCCAGATCTCTGGCGCTTTCCACCCCATTAATCTCCTTATTATCCACTATGTATTCTGAGCGTATAAGAATCTTCTTTCTGGAAAAACTGATGTAAAAGCATTTTTTAATATTTATCTCCATCCGATTGCAAGTACACCATTCATATAACTTGTTCAGATCCTCCTGTAGGAGCCTAATATCGAGCGATGATTCGATACATCTCGCAAATTTTAAATCGTCAGCGTAAAGAAAACAAGTCGAATTCTGAAGGCAATGGGGGAGATCGTTAATGAAAATATTAAATAGTACTGGGGCTAGATGGGAACCCTGAGGAGCTCCGGATGCTATAGGGAAAGTCTCGGAACGGAAACCATTAACAACAACATAGAATTCACGTTCAGTTAGATACGATTCAAGCCATTTCAACAAATATCCGGTAATACCATACAACGACAGCTTATGTATCAATATGGCATGTGAGATCCTGTCGAACGCTTTACTAAAATCGGTGTATATAACATCACACTGCTTGTTAGAGTCTATACATCGCACCAAGAGATCTGTAAAAGCCAACAAGTTTGTTGTTGTGGACCTGTTATGTACATACATACGTACCCGAAATAAGATCAGAGTAATTAATGGGCGACGGCGACCTCTCGCGTCTGGCTCTGGTTCAGACCATGGTACGGAGCGAGGGGGACTGGGATGCCGTCTCCTCCTTCTGCGAAACCGTCATACTAGCTACGAGAACGAATCGCCTCACGCTCCAGCCGTCGCCAGAAACACTCCGGGCGTCGGGGATCGTGAGACGAACTCCGGTCACCGTAAGCACGGGCCTGCCAGAAGGCCTGCCGCACGACCAGAACCAGGCCCGAGCGTACGCAGCGTCGCGTTCCGCGCGCGCCTCATGGAGCCATCAGACCACCACAGATGGGCTAATGCCGATACGGAGCCGCAGAAGACTTAACGGGTGGCCGGAGGAGAGGAACGGGGAGGTTTTTCGTCAGTAAGAGTCTGACACTCCCTCTTGCCTCACCCGGGTGGGACAATTCATTGGATGATTTTCCCCCCTCAAAAAAGACTAATTAATAGGTCTGGTAAAATACTGTAGGTAGTATCTGTAAAATACTTAAGTACCTACATAGGTATTTACCATAAGTGTGTTAATTACACTCCCCAATATAGGATAGGAATAAATCTTGCGACGTTATTCATACCACTACCAGTGCCCAACAACCGGTAAATGTACGTCCGACGCCCGGTGTGTCCTTCGCGATGGCTGCGTTGCGAGGAGGCAGCGCTTCGCTCATCTCACGCGTCCCGCCTACTCTGTAGCTAGCATGACTGCTTCGCAAAAGGAGGAGACGGCATCCCAGTCCCCCTCGCTCCGCATCATGGCCTGCACTAGGCCCGGACGCGAGAGGTCGCCATCGCCGATCACTTCCCTGAGGGCACGGCGGTGCTCAGCCCACGCAGGGCATTCTCCCACTGTGTGTTCCACCGTGTCCTCAGGGCGGTCCTCGCAGTGATGACACCCGGGCGTTTCCTTCCGCCCCATCAGACACAGGTACCTCCCGAAACTGCCATGTCCGGTGAGGACCTGCGTCAGGCGGTAGGTGAGGACGCCGTGGCGTCTCTCAAGCCACTCCTCAAAGAGGGGACTTACCGCTGCAATGGCAGCGAGCCCAAGAGTATTTCTCGGCTAGATCGAAAAAAAAGGGGTCGGACTAACACACGAGGCTATTACCATTCTTAATTCTAGCGTTATTATGATATTTTTCCTAGTATTAAGTAGGTTGGGGCTTAAGCAAAACCTCTATTAATAAGTTATATAAAGGGAAAAGTATAGATTAAAGTATAGGTAGAATAGGTACAACAATGTTATGACTACTTATCTACCACTTTAGGCACTCCAGATTTGTCTTAATCTTTATTTTTAGGTAGACTTTATTATTAGGTAGGGATATAATATATCGAGGATGTATAGGATTTAATATTTCATCAATTTCATTAGGATTACAAGTTCTTATTACGTATACTTCTATAAATCCAATGATACCAATGCTGCCATCTATAACGATATTATAGAAACTTACTCAGCACAAATTTCTAAAGTTACGACCCACCGCTTATTTGGTTCTCTGTATTAAACTTTTTCTGTTCCGATAGATAGCTCTACTTTACATATTTGTAAATTAAACAAACATAACATCAATTTGATTGCAGATCAAAAAGTAGCAAATAAAAAAAACAGTTAAATAGCATTAGCAGATTTTGATCAGATTTATAATTTGTTTATGGTATTCCATATTTTATTATCTGTGGTTGACTGGATAGAAGAAGCGAGAAAATTCCCTAGATCCGACGAAGTCACAAAGTGTCAATTTATTTGTTTTACTGCGGTGCAGTGCAGTATTCTTGCATTTAATTAGAAAGTGAGCAAATTCTTGTTATTTTACTATACCCAACGATATTCTTAGCACATATTTCATTTACTTAGTATTTGTTGTACATCGTTATATACACATTTGTTAGTACATCTGAGTTAATTATTCATTTTGCCGGCAGCTTTATCAGTGATAGTCAAAATGAATTGTCCATTCAACGAGGAGCAACTGAACCAGTTGAAAGCATTCGTCGAGTATTGTAAAGGAGAACCGCAGATTATTCATCACCCAAAATTAAGTTTTTTCAAAGAATACTTGTCTTCTCTGGGGGTTACTATTCCTGGGCCGACACCTAGTGCTAAGAACTTCACACCGTCTGGGGATACGTAAGTAATTAACCAGCACTTAGCTATTAATAATTTAGTTTTGTAACATTGTGTTATTAGAATTTACATGTAATAAACCTCTAAAACCCTTATTATCTATGTTTATTTTTATTTTATTTTTTATTTTTATTTAAAAAGAATCTCCAACAGAGAATACCTACACGTATGTTGAAAACTTCATTCGCGATATAGGTATAACTGAATATTGTAAGAGATTGAAATTATATAGTGTTTCTCTCTGTTTCTTGGTATTCATAATTTCAATTTCAGTTTCAGCTTCTCTGCCAACAACAATGCTGAAGAAACAGCCACAGTGTCATCTGGGGAGGAGTCTGATGTTGAATCTGATGTGGAATTGGATATGGAAGGTGAGTTTACGATTTTTTTTTTTACTATTATTTTGAGATACAAAGTAGGTGATGCAAACTTCATTGTATTGATAAAAAATGATAATTATTCATTCAGTACTGTATATTAAAATTTTAAATACTGTTATCTGCTTATTTTGGCAAGGTAAATGAGATCTTTATGAAACTAAGTTATAGGTCACCATAAGGTTTGAGAATAATATTGAAACATTATGTATACAATCAAACCAACTAAGTTACAAGTTAATGTACAACTATAATGTTAATTCACACACTAACACAAACTGCCAATACCAATAATATGTATGAGTCATTGGCTTGAAAATTGTCCAGCAATAAAAAATATATGTATATTAGAATTGATGTACTTATTGATGTCAAATTTGAAATTATCCTAATTTTTATATGCTGGAAACATTTACTAAAATCTAGTACTACTGTTAACAGATTCTCATAATTAATAAATTCATCTCAGGGTATATATTTTTAATTGTATTATTAACCAGTTTTACCAAAATCACTACATTATCAATGTACTGTAACATAAAAATGTATATGTGTGTATATGGGCCAAGATAATTGGTATTTATAAAAACAATGAGGAATAATAAATGTGACAACAATGGAAATTATTTGAATTATATTAAGTACTTATGTGTAAGTTGAGTTCTAGGTTACAAGTTGTATAAGAATAAATTTTTCACTACACCTTTGGTTTTGTGAAAACATGTGCAAACTCCATGGTATAGTTTTAAATACCCTATTCTTTTATGAGTCTTTAACTGTAGATTTTTATTTGATTATAGCTGCCTAATCTGCACTATAAAATTTGTCATACAATTTTGTTCTAGCCATTATTATTATTTCACACAGGTGTCATAGAGGCAGATAAAGTAGACGATACTCAGATAATGGGAGATGGAACAAAAGAGGTGACAGACGAGGAAAGAGACCAGTCTGATGAAAAGAGGTCTGAGGCAATGAGGGCTTTCTCTGAGCAACAATATGATGAAGCCATCAAACTGTACAATGAAGCTATACAACTCAATCCGCAGAGTGCTTTACTGTTTGCCAAACGAGGACAGGTAGGGATTATCAATAAAGTACATAAAATATCTTAAAATGTAAATTATGTTTTCAGTAATATACAATTGGTGATTTTATTGATATTGACATTGTTACAAAACTTTCTAAATGAAATTTATTCTATTCTATATATCTATTCTATATTCTATATAAAATTCTAAAAAAAATATTTATTGTACATTGTAAATACAATAACCACCGTGAGACATAGTAAATTAACAAAAAATCGCGGATTACTCACGTGAGCAGCGTGCGCGGTCGCGGCGATGTGCTACTGATAAGGGGACTTGATGAAGAACCCCTCTGTGGCTTGAAAATAGTAGAGCTTTTCTCAGTGTTTTCACGTGAGGAAGAACCCCTCTGTGGCTTGAAAATAGTAGAGCTTTTCTCAGTGTTTTCACGTGAGTAACCCGCGATTTTTAGTAAATGAAGTATTTACATTTTTTGTAACCATAAACTTTTCTGTAGATCTACCTAAAGATGAACAAACCCAATGCTTGTATCAAAGACTGCACGCGTGCGCTTGAACTCAACTGCGACAGTGCTGCTGCATACAAGTTCCGTGGGCGAGCTTACAGGTTGGAATATAATAAAATAATCATTTATAGTATACTTAATTACATAATATCACTTCTATATTTCTCTAAGTATGCAGGGTAAGCTGTATAATAGTGAATTATGAACTTGATGGAGAGAGGATTCACGTTTCTATTTGACTACTTGTTATCCTAAAAAAATTCTATGTGCAATAGTAATTTTGTTTTGTTGAGCTTTTGCTCTTACATGATTTTTTTCATCCATTTTGCTACTTTGCATTTTACTAACAAAACAGTTAAAAGTTACTATTAAATTTTCTTTACAGGTTGCTAGGCAAGTTCGAGGAAGCTTCCCACGATCTCTGTGAATCTCTCAAAATTGACTATGATGACCAAACTAATGAATGGCTTACTGAAGTCAAGCCTAATGCTGAGAAACTACGTCAACACAAACTTAGTGTTCAACGCAAGAAGGAAGAAAGAGAGGTAAAATGAAATTTGTATACTACATACCACCCATCCTTATAGATTTATTACAACCTGTATTTCTTCATATCTTTAGAAGTGGAAGTGCAAACAGATCCAGTGCATAGCTGACAATGTTCAAAAATCAATAGCGGCATGATTATCCACCACAAGAGATCGAAGTTACGGCTTCATACTACTTGCTATGTCAGCTGTCTGATATGAAAGAGAAAATGCTAAACGATAAACTTAATGTTTAATTTCAGCATCGTGAAAAGTTGCGCAGAGCTCGTAAGGCGCAGGAAGCCAGAGCTCGCGCAGCACGTGCACAAGCTGAAGCCAACGCCCGAGCACCACCTACCGGTGGTTTCCCAGGAGCTGGTGGCTTCCCGGGAGCCGGTGGTTTCCCAGGAGCCGGTGGTTTCCCAGGAGCTGGTGGATTCCCCGGAGCAGGTGGCGCAGGTGGTTTCCCTGCCGGGTTAAATCCACAGGACTTCAGCAACCTGCTCTTTGACCAGGAAATCATGGCGGCTTTCCAGGTAATCATGAATAATCCAACCTTTCAGATAATAAACTTTTTGATAGATTTCTTTTCAAATTAATATTGTTTGTTTGACTAAAATATTTTTCTGCCTAAGGACCCTGAAGTGGCTGCCGCATTCCAAGACGTTTCGTCCAACCCAGCTAACTTTGTGAAGTATCAGAATAACCCTAAAATCGCAGCTGTTATAGAGAAACTACAATCCAAACTAGGCAAAGGCGGAGCTGGTGGTTTCCCAGGTAGATACAATAGTCTTTACTGAAAACCTAGTTATGTGAAATAAAAGGTTGAAAACTAAACTTTAATAAACTAAATTTTTGTATTCTATTTTATAGGTTTTGGCGGCGCAGCACCTGGAGCGGGCGGACCAAAAGCCCCCACAGACGACGATGTCGGTCTTGACTAAATCGCACCAAACAATATGCAATATTTGGTATCAAATTAGCAATCAAAGTTGCAAATTCAATAGGTATCTAAAGTACTTTGTAACATATTTATAGTATGGAGTGGGTATTATAATTAACTATGTCGAAACAAACCCATGTGTATATTTGTAGCACTAAACGTAATTGTATTTCATACAATGTCCACTTGTGCAATGTTCATTTACAACTAGATATTTGGAAAATGTTTATAGAGTGTATAACAGGTGCTTGTTACCCAATTGCTACAATATAATAAATTATCAAGTAATAGAAATTTTTAGTGATAAAAAAGTATATTATTGGTCTATAACGAACAAAGGCTGTAGTTGCTATCATAACAATACTATTTGCAATAATTATAACTACAAGTTTTATATTCACTCGTCTATGTGTAATTACGATAAGCTTTTACTTTCACTGCATTTATTGTAACTAGATATACAAATTTGCGTTTTGCCATATTATGTATTTTCTTAACCAAAATTAAATTTTTATTATTAAATTCTTAGTCATTATTTTTGGATTGTATATTTTTGCATTATGTTCCCAAATATATCTGTTCATTAACATTTAAAATACATCAACGAACATGATAAGGACTGCTTATAATTTTCTAGGGTAGGATTTCTATTCTAATACAGAGAAGAACCAAATTCGTTGATTTCGTTACAATCATTAAGAAATTTTGTCTCATTTAAGATATTTTTTTATTTTAATGTTTAATAAAAGTACGTACATAAAAGGCCTTGTTTTTATCTTGTTAATAGTAATATGCGAGTTCTATAATTACTACCACCACTAAATGTTCCAGACCTCTAAGATATAAACTCTACCCAAATACCATTGATGCAATAAAGCAAATAGAAAAATTTTTTTTTTTTATTCTTTATTGATTATGGAGGATTTGTTCATATAGCGAACATGTCGCCCTCATACTTATTATACTCTTTGCCCTCATAAGAACACTATTGGGAACTTACATATAAATTATCCTAGCAAAATTAGATGTTGGCTAGACTTGAATTACATATTCCAAAATCACGAAAATCTATGTTACTCTCTCTTTTTATCCGACATATATCTGCATCATTCCGGACACACAACTATAATATGATAGACGTCTTCAACAATATCGCATTCCGTACAATTTGGTGACACTACTTTACTCATCATTGCAGCAAAACTGGAATTTGTCCGGAGCGAAGTCTTAAACTCGTCACAATTTCTTGCCTGCTCATATTGGCGTTATCAAACCACGGGATAGAATAGTATTAGTCGGGCGCATCGTGCGATACCAAATGCTTTTGGCTAATGGTTTTTCGCCAAAATAGTCATTCCAATTATGGTAACATTTTCATTCAACTTCTCTTAACATCCGTAATTTTTTGTTATAATATAACTAGATTCTGCCAGCGGCTTCGCCTGCGGTGCCTTTAACACAAAAAGTAGCCTGTTTTACTCCAGACCGTAAGCAGTTTTGATGTGAAAGAGTAACAAACTAGCATAATAACTTTCGCGTTCCTAATTTTAGTAGCATGTCTTAAACAGACTGCTCACTAAGACTGCTGCAGACTGGCTCACTAAACAGAACTGTTGAAGAGTTGTGCCAGTGTGTTTATATAGGCACAACAGTGCCACATTGAAAGAAAGAAAATTTTACGTCATTGTAAATAAGTGACATAGAAGACATACTGAATAATAAATTTGGGTAGAAGCTAAAAATAAATAAATAAAAAAAGTACATAGGCACTATTTAACTATTTTATTTAAATCTTAACATTACACATCATTGACTCTACCCCATCCCAATCTTATCTTCTTTTCATGCAATTTCAACCATGAAGGCATGTTCTTAGGGAAGGGTTGGGCATTGGGGAACTTGAGTGGTGGTGGCGGTGCCTTAAAGGGGTCCTCATCCTTCAACTTGCGCAATAGATACTCTTTGTTGATTTGCTTTGGATCTCTGTACTTATCCATGTACAAATTAAATGCTTTCCTGCGAGGAAACCATTCTTGTGGCCTTAAGTAAGGCTTGGGGAAATCATACTCATAAACTGGAATAATAGAAAATAAAAATTAATGAATACATAAAAAAAATAACAAATCATATTATTATTTATTGTTGCCTTACCTGGTTCTTTAGTATCCAACACTTTGTGGAAGAAATTCCTCACAGATATATCCCAGTTGGTTTGGAAAAAAGCAAGTCCTGCTGGAGTGATGTTGTCCTGGTACTTTTGATACCAGTCCCTTGTCACAAATGTTCTGTCTTCTAAAGGAGATGTTGCAGTTACTGAAAACATATTCAATTAAAATTAATTACAAAGATTGCACAAACTTTTCTTAATAAATATATTTTTAAAGCTACTAGCCGAAAATCGATCTGGAAGTATCCAATTTGCAAGACTGAAGAGGAGCAGTGTACCTAACCTCATAGACCGATTCAACAGCTAGTAGGAAGGGAAATTCATTGGATACTTCTCTTCAATGCAATATGCCACACTCAGACAATGAGTCAGCCAAGAAAGCGGCTAAATGTTTTATAAACAGATTGCTGTGTTGCGGGATATATAATAGAAAAAAAAACTAGCCGAAAAAAAGTACCTTTTGTTACATCATAAGTTATATTTCCATCTTGCTTGTAAAGCACATATGCATATCTGTGATATCCAGTGCCCTTCAAGGGTATCGGCTGCAGGTACTCGACAATAGTATCTCCTTTCTCAATAGAGTTACCAGGAATATTCGCCACAAGCCAATGCACATACTCTTTATCACCCTCTGTTAAATGGCCATCTAGACTAGTAAGAGCCAGTGTCCATAAACTGTCAGGGTCAGTTTCATAGTTAACTATTGGATATTCAAGTGCCTCTGCAGGTTTTATGTCATTTCCAGTGCAAACAGGTAGGTAAGAACCATTTTTTAAATCATACAACACTTCCAAATTCAAGTGCGGTATAAAGTATCCTTCTCCATATAGATGTTCAAATATGCCATAATGATCAGCAATTTGCTTCTTGTGCTGTGGCCCCAAAGTATTCAACCACTCTTTTTTAGCTTCATTTAGATCGATTTGTAATGTATGATTACGTGCCAATTGTTCCAAATTCTTATCAGCTTTAATTTTTTTTAAATGATCCAATCTGGAATGACGACTACTTTCTGTCAATTTTCTTAAATCAAAAAAGTTTATGTTAGAAATTGTACATTTTAAATAATAATACAATTAAAGGTACTTAGTTAAATGTTGTACACATTGGCCAAGGATTGGGTCAGCGTGTTGGGCCAAAATAGATTTATTTCTTAATAATTAAAGAATTTATAGTTTAAGCCTTTAACTGCCAACAAAAACTTTTAAATGTTAATACTCTGGTAGTATCAGTCATCATTGCCCATCACGGTATAGATTCAGTGTTCGTTTGTCATCTTTACTGACAAATGATAACGAACTGAAAGAGATGGCGTGTGAATGCCGTTTGCAAAATATGCCAAAAACCTTTGATGTGCCCACGAATAACTGACAACATTCGCTTGGTCGGCCAATATACTTATTACGTAAGTTTCTGCATGTTGGTCCAATATGCTGGCCTAAAACCTAGGCCGAATTTGTACAGACGCCTTAAAATAAAAGTGGAAAGTAATAATATGCCAATCGATAATTACTGTTTTAGGGAATATATTACACTATTATTTCAACTACAATAGTATACACACTCACTTCATTTTAGGCAAACCAATATCAACTCTTGTTGTGTATATTTCATCCTTATAGTTTAATTCATCTAAACGTTCTTTTATTGTACGACAGAATACAGGGGCTTTGCCTCTTATTCTGTGCGCACATCTTATCTGCTGGAGCTGTATATTTGCAGCCCAAACACTACGAAATGAATTTAACATTTTCCTAAATTATTACAATATTAAAATCTAATTACTGATGAACTGAACAAGAATAACCTGATACCATTAAGGTTATATTATATTTTTTGACGTCTAGTTTAGTCTAGTGCCTGCCTATCTGCCAAGTGTCAATCAATTTGTCATCCGTAGGGATGGCGTTCTGAGATCAATTCATGGAAGAATGGATCTTTTGGAGCAAAAAATCGATTTTTTTTTATCATTCTCTTGAATCAATCTCAGACATTCTAAGATTGAGGTAGTTTTTTTTCTGTCTTGGTATAAACCATAGAATTAGTTGAAGGCTCGTATTACAAGAGTGCTGTCGGTTAATATTCAAAACCTCGCGAGATGGCTGTGTTTAGTCCCCTTCGCCTCACTTCTCATCATTAAAAAAGTTACGTTTATAATTTTTGACTTATTGTAACTGTACTGTGCATACTGTAATGGATTTGAGATTCCTTCATCAAGTAATAAAAATACAAGGTAATAAAAATAATTTAATAGTATCGAATTTTGATTAAAAGATCGTTAATTTAAATATTTCTAAAGTTTTTATAAATTATATATTTTTTTAAAATAGTATAAACTAATTTGAAAAAGATCGATTTTTTGGAAATCAATTTTAAAGAACTCGATTTTTTGTGGATCCATTCACCAGGTCACGATTCGAATCGATTTAGAAATCATTTTTTTTTTTTCGGTAAGAATCCCCATCCCTACCGTCCATACCTTTGACATTTCAGTGTTGACAGAATCTACTGCTAAATAATTACTGATATTATTTTAATAGTAAAATTATATATATATACTTTGGTCTTTTATTGTTAAATTAAATTTTTTTTACAAAGTTTTATATGGCTTTTGCTTTAACAACCTGTGTTTGTTTTATGCGAATACTTGTGAGGGACTCTTCCTCATAAGCAGCATACGACATAGACATAGCCGCATACCGCACACATTAGTATCTCGTAATTTTTGGTTTATTCAGTATGTCGATGACAACAAATTGCTACTTTTCATTACAAATCTGAGTTGTTATATGTAACCGCTACACAAATATAATATGTAACTATTACACCAATAACTATTATGTGGAACCGTTACCGTTACAAATGTTATTATTTGTGTTACATCAAACTAATTATATAAATGTGAAAGTTTATTTGTTTGGATGTTTGTGCGTCCGTCCATCAAACTAAAACTACTATACAAATCCGTTGATTTTGATGAAATTTACATGTAAATAGGTATACATGCAGGGCTGATTTACATGATAGGATACTTTTTATCCCGATTAAATGCTCTCATGGGATAAAACACGAATACATGAGCAAAAGCCGTGGGTGGAAAGCTAGTTTTATATAATGATTACATAACTTGTTCACCAAATATTATATCATGGTGAATTATTGTAAAACTAGACTAAACTAGACTATACCTACTACTACTATAACCGCTGCTCAGTTCCTTCTGGTTATAGCGTGATATTTTATAACCTATTCCCATCCTCGACAAATGCACTATCCAACATAATTATTTAAAAAAATATGATTTTAATTCGGACCAGTAGTTCTGAGAACTAGCTCGTTCAAACAAACAAACTCTTCAGTTTTAA